AGTATATCTTATATGTATCCATTTTCCTATGAATGAATCTATTCTCTCGCTCTTTATGGCTGAGTAATATTCCATTCACTATAAATATTTGGATAGTCTGGGTGGGCTGAGTTGTTTCGTTAAGTAGGAGAAAGGCAGCTGTGAGAGGGAAGCTGTGAATCAGTTAATCCTAAGACACACCAGGCGACACCGCCAGGCAGTTCTTCGCTTTTGAAGTCGAGGTTCCCTATACCACTCCCTTGAAACCATCAGTAACGGCACATCCTCTGCCTCCAGGAGCACGCTGTTCTTACTTGTGTAGGAATGAATAAAATAGCCCTGGATTACTTGTAAGAATACTGTGTACAGATATGTCCATTAATATGTGAGTACACTTTCTGTGGACTTGGCCCATGTTTTGCCAGTGCCTACACCACTCTGTGTTCCACATCCCTGGCCTGCATGTGACAGATTTCTCTGAGTGTCCGGATTGGGCCTCAGAGTCCTTCATGACCGCAGCTTCTACTAGTTGATTGGACCTGGCATACGAGATGATTCTCTGTGGTAGCAATTTTATTAGTTTCTCAATCACTGTATTTATATGTCTTTTTTATAGTTTAAAATTTTAACTACATTTGTATATTAATAATGTTCTTAGGTTAGTCTTTATTATCCTTAAATCAGCTGGGAATGATCCTGGGAGATACTTCCCTGTGGACCTCTTGATTGTTTTGTACATTTTATGAGCAGAGGCTTTGGTTACCTTGATTATCTCTTCAAGATTTATTTTTATAGTGAGCGGTTTGGAAAGGTGCAGTGATTTCAGAGAAATGGTCAGGTTTCCTCATTGCCTTGGGAGGCAGAGCTAGTCTTTCTTCAGTCTTGAGTAAGGTGGTAGACATACTTCTTGCCCATTATCAAAGCCTGTGCTTGCAGAAGTTTAGGGTGTTTTTCCTGTGATGCAGGTGACATTTAGCCTTACTCAAGTAGCTGTGAGAATTGGGACTCACTGAACTGGATCAAGATAATGCTGATATTCTGGCTTTTTCTAGTATTAGAAGTATCCTTGTGTCTCCCCGGGAGATTTATACCCTCTGACATCATCCACAGCAGACTTCTCGTTAACTTGAAAGGAAAGTAAATCTCATACTTCTCAGTTGTTGACAGTATTTGGGAAGTACAAATAGCTATCAGAGAGCTCAGCTCAGAAGTGCCATTTTTATCCTTGCTTTTAATTGAAACTGTATTATGTATTTATATAAGTGTGTAGCATGGATTTTTTTCTAAGTTAAAATAAAGTTTTGGTATAATTTTGCTATTTATATATAATGACAGTTTTAAAAGCATAATAAGCCATATGTTTTCTTATACATTAAAATGTATATACACACACATTTGTATTCTATTTTCGACAACCAAATCAAGTATTGCTCTGCTTAACCACATATTTAGGAATTAATCTTAATTCTGTAAATTTCACTATGATGTATTATTCGGCTCTCTTCTAGAATATTGGAAAGAAGATGACCTGCCAAGAGTTCATTGCAAATCTCCAAGGGGTAAATGAGGGTGTCGATTTCTCCAAGGATCTGCTAAAAGTAAGAACTGGATTATAGAGTTGTAAAATATGCTTGCGTATATATTTACTGATTACTTCTTAATTTGAAATAAGCTAAGGACCGCTTAACTATTTTGTGTTTTGCTTTTGGTTTTACTGGATGTTTTTCCTGGGTTTTGTTCCTGATACTTCAGACTGCAGTCATATTCTTCAATTCATAGTTCCTAAAGATGCACATTGTTATCAATAAAACTGAGGCAATAAGTGGATTTGGAATAGTTGGTGAGATGAGTGGTTACTGAAAAAATTTTCTGTGTAAGCAGACAGTTAGAACTTGTGAAAAGTCATGGAGGCATGCTCACTCTGGAAACAAAGCAGTATTGGCAGACGGTAGCAGGAGCAGTTCTGACAGTGTTAGTCTCCAGTCCCAGAGCCACTCAGATTGTTTTTGGAAATAGATTAAATTCTCAGTAATTGTAGAATGCCCGAGTTATTTGCAATTGGTTTTATTATTGGCAACAATCAGCGTGATTTTCATCAGCTTGTTTGCAAGGAGAGAAAATCAACTTTGAAATTCATACATTCTGCAGCATTATAAATGAGATGTGCATTTGATCAAATACAACATAATGATTGGTGATGAATATGAATATTTTACAAATTGTAGGGTGAGATGTGTGTTGAATAGATTTTTACAGATTTTTGATTCTGTCCTTCTCTTTAAAACTTAGTTCATGGCCAGGGATTTATCTCAATAGTGCTGCCACCTGCCTTTCAAGCATAAGGTCCCAAGTTCATCCCTGGTACCAAAAAAACAAAACAAAACAAAAAAACAAACTGACATATTGTCTGGAGATTTAGCTCAGTGCTTCCACCGCCTGCCTTGAAAGCGTAGTGTCTCCTGAGTTCGATCTCCAGTACCAAAAAGCATATCTAAAACTTAGAACACGTCCAGGTTTCTTTTGGGACCAGTCTCTGAATGAACTTGCCAAGCGACACATGCTATAATACGGAAAGGTACTGTTGAAGGGTAACTCTTTTAGAGAGCTGCATGGAACTTTTATTTATCTGTGAAGTGGTGGGGATTAACCCAAGGGACTCATGTGAGAAGCCAATGCTTTGCTGTTCATCTGCTCTCCCAGCCTTAGCTAATTTTTAAACTATAAAGTTCTACTAGATGTGAAAAGGCAAACATACTATAGAAAATGAAAAGAAACAATCAGGTGGTGTTACCAGATTCTATAGCTTATCGACCTTAATTTCAGCTAATTAAAAAGATACGTTGTGGTTAAAACAGGAGGAAAAGCTTCCATTTACTATGTCAAGAAGATATTTTTAGATTGCTTGTAGAGTAAATGCTGCCTTTTTCTGATTCTACAAATTCAAATGGGAATGGGAAATCAAAGGTGCAGGATTATGACTTGATAAATCTGTTGGGTACCCTTGGTCAAAGGTGCCTCAGGTTAACAAGTCTTTTATCAGGCAAGTCATGCTAGGACGGAGTCTCTCAGAGCATTTGCGAGGCTTTTATCAACTCATGACAAAAATGAAAATTGACAGGAACATATTCATAGTGAAGCTGTTAGTTTTTTGTAGTAGGTTTATGGTAGTAGGTGAATTATTGGGTAGATTTAGAGCGTGTTTGATAGAGCTGTCTAAAGCCAAGTGTAATTAATGTACAGTCCAGTGACTGCTATTCACCTTGGTTAAATACCCCTGCTTTCATTTAGCCTGCCAGGAATTTGCATTATGATTTGCTGGAGCTGTGCAATTGGGATTGTATTTAGAAACCTCAGGGGGAATATATGTCTTAATGCTGTTCTTTAGTGTGGGAAGATGACAGTCCAGTGACTCTGACAATGACAGTGGCGTTTGGCATGGAAATTATCTGGTGAAGTATTAACTCCCTTTCAGAGTAAACCTCAGCCAAGATGGGAGTAGAAATGGTTTTTATTGTGAATTTCAGTAAGGAAAGAGTTTTAAAACCATTTTTGCTTTATTTCACTATTTCGTGGGATGTTTCTGTCTCTTCTTCCTTTCCTCCCTTTTCCTTCTTTGCTCCCATTGTTTCTTTTTCTTTCATTTTTTTGCTCTCTCGTTTTCTTTTCTTCTTTTCCTTCTCCTTCCCTTTCCCCTTTCAGTAGCTGTCTGCTGCTGAGATAAATTATTGGGTGAAATATTTGAGTTGTGGGGTAAATGCAATTATACACGTACTATACAGATGCGTATACATGGGTAAACAGAAATGTTTGCTATCATTTTACAGACTTCTCAGTAATCTTATTCTGTGTATCATTTTGAACCTAAACAATTTTTTTTCCTCATTGAATTTATTGGTACACTTTAGGTACACAGTACAGCTACATTCATCATTGGGATCTTGTACCTTTACATGACAGGTCTTGGATCTCATTTTCTCCCCTTAGCCCTGCCCTCCCTTCACCCTCTTCTCCCTTACCTAAACAATTTTTAATGAGGAAATAGGGAGGATTATTTAATTTTGCCTCTTCATAAAAATGTAAAGCAACTCCTACGTTCAATGTAAAAATGCTTAAGCTTCACTGTGTGAACAGAGGCTTTTATTGTTACATAATGGTCTTACTGCCTTTAGGTTTCTTTGGATCAGAAGTTACACTTGATTCATGTCTGTTCAGATTGCTTTGGGCCAGAAGTCATACCTGGATTTATAACTCGTTCTGTGTGGTTGTGTAGTTACAGACGTGTGTTAAAGGTCTGCTGTGTGATCACCCGGTGGTGTGGGACTGGGAGAAAATGCCAGAGCAGCGTATACATCTGCCCTCAGGGATCACAGACTGCTGAGAGGAATCTTCTTCCCTTAAAATGGGCAGCTAGTCCACAGTAAAATGAAAACATAAACCACATTCTGCTTTCTCTAAACAGAAATGGTTAAAAAAAAGTAGGCCATAACATATTTAAGTGTAGAAGAAATGAGAAATTTGTCTCAGGACTTTAATTCAGAGAATCCAGTTAAAAGCTTGCTTCTACTTTGCCTTAGAGTACATTGAAAAGAGGGAAGACAGTTGTGCATTTTTTATAGTTTACAGTAATAATGCACTCTCTGTTGCTTTCTCAGATAACCTCAGCAGAGTTGAGTGCTTTGGTGAATAAGAACTTTTTTCCATAAGCCACTCACAGTCTTTCTCATACCTACTTCTTCTCAAGGGGTGATCAACCCAGACTATAATTCCTTCAACAAAGTATAACAAACCATCTGTCATATGTTGTGGCTTTCCAGGGTCCTCCCATCCTAACAGCTGGGTGTGGTTCACCTTCAAGTATCATTGTGGACAAGGAGGAAAAGGAGAAAAGGGGAGTTGTTCTTTGGGCTCTAATAGATCTAGTAAAATATTCCTGACACTTTAATACATATTAAAGCCTTTAAGGACAAAACTGGAGAGGATGGGAAAAAAATAGCCTCTGAGTTGAAGACTGACATTCTGGAGTAACAGTATAGGGTGATGATGGAGATTCCAACTTCACAGCTCTCCTGACCAGATTCTAATACCAGCTCCTCCCTCTTAATAGCTGAGGGGCTGTGGAAAAATGCGTTTTTTTTTGTTTTGTTTTGTTTTGTTTTGTATTGGGAATCAAACTCAGGACCTTGTGTTTTCAAGGCAGGCACGGTGCCACTGAGCTAAATCCCTGGCCTGGGAAAGTTCATTTTTAAAATGTCAGTTTTTTTATCTGTACAATGGGAGATTTTACTTTTACCACCTACTTCACCTCATTGTTTCTGTTTCTTACTCCATATTAGGGATTGAACCAAAAACCTCACACTTGTCCACTGAGGTACATCAATATCCCTTTTTAAAAGTTTGAGACATGGTCTCATTAATTGGTCAAGCTGGCCTGGAACTTGAAGTGCTCCTGCCTCAGCCTCCAGCAGAGCCGGGACTACAGACATGTGCCTCAACACCTGGCTTGCCTAGTCATTTTAGTCACTGAACGATTTAGTTTTTCATGCTTTAGAATCCTAGCATGTAGTATAGGCAATGTGCTCGCTATTCTTTTTGGTTTTAGTGTTATTTTAATCATCACTTAGCTCAAAGTTTCTGGAGTGACACTTCATTCCTTTTTGCAGGTATTTCGACTGAAGGGGTAATACATCTTTTAAAGCCAAGTGAGATTAATGCCATGAGATAAGAGTTGAGTATACCGTTCTCTTTTAGTCTGCTGCTGTCTAAGGACACATGCTATGCTCTTTGAAAAGAAAGGTGACATTGACCTAAAAATGAATCTTCGCTAACCCCATTTCCTTACTTTCTTATCAGCGGTCTCATTCTCTTCCGTGGTCCATTCCTCATTCATATATGTTCATGTCCATGTAAAGATATATGCATCCATATGTAAATCCCTCTCTATATATTTAATGTTGTTTGGGTTCTTGGTGACTTCTTCATGTTCCAAGGGCAGAGGGTACTGAGAAAGTTAGGTCTTGAAGAGTCTTTGAAGAGGCAGGCTTGTTCTTATACTTCTGAGATCTCGGTATAGTCCTGTGATGGTAGTGGAGATGTGAATGTGTATTATTTGACGTGATTAAAAGTCCCTGGGAAAAATTAGCTCCTGTTATTTGTGGTAACATAGATGAACCTGGAGGACGTTGTATTGAGTGATATAAGCCAGGCAGGCGTAGAAGACAGATTCTTACATGTGGAATCCTGCAGGTTGAAATCGGAGAGTAGAATGCAGGTTACCAATGGCTGGGTTAGGAAGGAGGATGGGCTATTGGCCAAAGAGTACAAAGGTCAGTTAGTAGGAATGAATTTTGGGGATCTGTTGTACAGTATGAGGACAATAGTTAATATGGTATTGCACTCTGGAAAATTTCTAGGTGTACATTTTAAATATACTCACCACAGAAATGTAACTGTATGAGGTGATGGGTGTGATAATGAACTTGATTTAACCATTCCAGGATATATACAATCCAACTATCCGTTGGCTATCATAAATACATGTGAATTTTGTTTATCTAAAATTAACATTTTCTTAAATATTCTTCTCATGTTCATAATACAT